ATATGTAAATAAAGTTAGAATAAAATGTAAAACTCTTTGTCTTTATCATTCAAACTCTCCTCACTTTAGTTCTTTGTTTCTGTGTGTATTCATTCTCTTCGGAAATGTTTTCACTTCACTCAAAAATAAAAAAGAGACCTGTTATCACAGGAAAACAACTATTCTATAAGAACAAAAAATATCCGATGCCTGTTTGTTTATGCCTTTTTTGCCAGTAAATATTTAGATTTTTTGCTAGGAATTTTTAACAAAAATATCGTTCACAGTAATATTAGCACTGCCGCCGAAATGATTATTTGTAAACCTCTATTTAAATATTTTAACAAGATATGCTACTTTTCTAGTTTTGATACAGTTTTGCGCAGAGCACAGGAAGCTACCTGAGAGAAAATCGAAGACTATTAGTATAGCCTCTGACTTTGCCACAACTTCTAACCATACTCCACTATCGGACTGCTTATGATCCAGAGATGGGCGACACATTTTTCTGTGACTTGGACTCGAACTCGGACTCGAGAATCTTGATAAACTGACTCGAGTCACTTTCGAGTCAGTCACGTGCAACTTTACATTATTACAAGGATGTTAAACATATTTGTTATATACTATCAGAGAGAAAGAGATTTGAGAATATTCTAAATAGAACATCGCGTCGCATGAGAGGATTGAAGACCTAGAAAACGTTTTTTATGTGAATTGAATTATATGGTGCCCATCTTTGGATCCAACTTGCAAAAAAGAGTCGAGATAACACCTAGGAAGTGTTCAGCAGAATGAGTAAAAACGAATGCTTAAAACAACAGCAGTGAGTAGTTAGCTGTCTTGAAAAAATGAATCAACAGGAAGACTACCACTAGAAAATGACTCGAGGTGACTCGAGGTGACTCGAAGCGACTCGGACTCGAACCTGGACTCGAAGCCTGCTGACTCGAACTCGAAAAAGTGGTGACTCGCCCATCTCTTTTATGATCTGCGCTATCGGACGAAAAAAAATCAATCTGTAAGACAAGTCACTTTCTATATTCTATCTATGATAGAGCCCATGAAAACAGATTTTTCAGTCCATAGACTCTAAAAAAGTAGTCCAGTCCAGTTCACAATACAAAACAACATGCTTGTTACTGATTAGTCCTCGGTTCAGGTGAATCCAAAGCTTTTTCGAGTGCAGACTAGTCCATGGCCTTGAAAGTTTGAGTTCAGTCCAGTCCGAGTGCATGAGCTCAGAAAATTTTCAGCGCGGTTCAGTCAATATGGAGATCTGGTAGAAACACAACAACTTATTTAAATAAAAAGAGAATTGTGCAAAGTTTTCATCTAAGCAAAGTTTCGGCATTTTGCGCACATATATTCCTAAGCAAAAACGACCCAATTTTTTGGGTTATTTATCTAGATTCAGTTCCACGTGCATCTAGATGTACGTGGAGCTGAATCTAGATAAATAACCCAAAAAATTGGGTCGTTTTTGCTTGGGAATTTGTACACGTACGATGCTTATTCTTGCTTTTGGCTATGGTACCTTCCGTTCATTACTTATGCTTCAAACAGTAATTTTTATTTTACTTCCTAGTTCGAAATATAAACATCACAAACCTAACTTTTAAAGAGTTATTGTTTTAAGCTACTTTTTTAATGGACAATGACAATGGGTCTATTGCATGAGTTAGTCTCGGCTATACTATAGATAGCCGAACCATTTTTCTGAAAGTGTACGCTTAAGCGTTTGAAGACCATGGTCTGTCCGTCAGCCACACCAAAAACGTCCTACACAGCTGCAATTAAGGCTTAAATCTCGAGGTTTCCGCCACCAAACAATAAAAAAATATTCAGTTTGAAAAACATATAACCAGCAGACATGGGATCGGTTCGTGTTTTTCTGCAACTGAACCGAATCGAACCGAAACTAATTCAAACCGAACCAAAATCGATTAGGTACGGTTTGAAACCGAACCGGTCCCACCTCTGATATACATATGTTGGAAGAGTAATGCGATAGGAAATACAACATAATATTTGTAATTTTAGAAAGTAAAATGTTGATATCTTGTCCGAGCACGTATGATGAGCTCCGACCTAAAATATCGTGACGCGTGGATCTCTGCTTTTTCCATATTCTGCAGTCATGTTATTCTTCTCGCTGTTCGGATCGATGTTTGTATTAAACATTATACAAATCCTCTATGTTGTTACGCTATCTATCAGTGTCGACGGATCTCAATTTCATTTGTACAACACGGGCTTGCACAGGCTTGAATTCAGAGATTGTTTGTATGCCTATATGTCTTCTGACGCAATAAATGAGTGGCAATTAATTCCGTACTGTATTAGTCACAATATCAATGAGGATGGCTACCAATCATGTTATGATGGTGAATATACGTTCGGGGGACTGAAAGAGGACGATGTCACCGGTCGAGATTTATACAAATGGAACGCACCTATCGACATAATCAACAATTACGAAAAATATTTGACTGGCATTGACACGCATCTCGAGGATAAAGAATACTGCAACTGCACAGGTAAGAATAACAGTTAAACTTTCGAGTGTATGTATGTACACAGACAAACCAAGTCTCGTTCTACGTACTCAAACTTGACAAAATCGTGCCATAGTACATTGTAGTTGTTGATGATTTAAAAAAGAGGCCAAAATATAGCTTTGAGACGATGCAGCAATAAACAGGAAAAGAAGGATGTGAATTTTTTCCAAAAATGGGGTTTCAAATAAAAAAAGATAACATTAAAACCGATTTTTGTTCGTACTTTGTTGCCTTTTAGAGTTGAGAAAACTAATCGAATATCTGACTTAACAAGAATGGATCATCACTCCCTTAGTTCAACAGACAATTCCTCGGAACATTGTTATTCATTTTGCTAAATGCACCATTATTCAAGTGTTGTTTGTTTTGCGAAGCGCTGATCTGTTTTCATTATCGTCTATCACATGGTCTATCTCTGCACATCTTTTGATTATCAAATTTTTCCCTCTCATAGTAAGAGAAAAAGAGCACGTGCTTCGAGAACCTTTCGGCCTCTACTAGACTCATAAAACAAGAAATATATTATCCTAAGACAGCGAAGAAATTTCGTTAACGACATGTATATTTTTTACTAATCAGAATAAAAAACATTGCTAGGAGAAGGAATAAAATTTGCTAAGTGAAAGAAAAATTTTCGCCAAAGCCTAACGATAGACAAACAAGCAAACTCGCGTGCTCAAAATCAGAGAGAATATTTGTTGCTCATTTAAGGGTAACCCTCCCCTATTTATTGGCTTTCCGTTGAAATGCTGTGAAGTAAAAACTAAGAGTCGCTAGGGCTTCGTATTTTCAGAACTGATTGGAAACTCAATGAAGCACTTTTTCGTTTTTGTTTTAGGCGTTTAACTATTGCCGTTCACCAGTTTTTCGGAAAACTCGGTTTTTCATTGTGCCCCATTACGATCCCCCTTAAATTTCATCCGATCGAGTTCAAAATTTTACCAAAGGTACTAAAAGTCATTCCGCACAGATAGTTTTAGGGAAATTCTTTTCTAGTTGAGTTATAGGAAACACATTCTGTACATTGGTCACTTTTTTCAGGGCATTTCCCGCGATGCTTATATCTCCACGAAAACTCATCGGAAAGTTCTGTAAAACGTCTCTTTGTGAAGAAAACACTTTCTTCTATCAGACTATGTGTAAGAAAAATATTGCATGTACAGAAAACGAGAGAAAAGTTTATGAAACTAAAAATGGAGTTTTATTAGGGTTTGAACGAAAAACTTCAGAAATCCATAACTTTTTGAAAAAAGATCGTGGTCTTATTTTGTGCGCACACTTTCCTCTACATTAAGCTATGCGCAGCTCAAAATCCGAAATTTTTACAAAAAGAGGGATACCCTTAAAACACAATAGTTCGCACAAATCCAGCAGGACAGAACATCTAAAATGAAACATCTCGTACTAAACATATCGTGACAGATAAAAATAAGGCAACCTTTTCACAATAAAAACGGTTTTTGAGGCATAAAATCAGAGCAATACATAGCACAAGCTTGTGTACGATAGAATGAGACTAAAATATTACACAACAAGGTTTCTGTTCATATTTATTTGATTTTCCTATTCAAAGACAATTGGTTCGGGACATATTGTCAATATTCGTTCGAACATCAAAAGTCGTTTAAAGAAATAATCAAGTTACAATTCAATAACAAGAGCTCGCTTTCTGAGGACGGAGAACCGAATGACGATGTGCTTGTCTCATACATGGGCCTACAATCGTGTAACTCAACATTGGAGTTGGACTGGCGTCAGATCTGCGACGGACACATTAACTGTGAAAATGGCGAAGACGAGCCCAGTGAGTGTCTACAGCTGGAAGTAAACGAGTGCGACTCTCAATCGGAATATCGTTGTCGGAACGGTATGTGCATTTCGAAAACATTCAGTTTTGATTTTGCTACCGACTGTATGGATTTGAGCGATGAGCAAGACACGTATCATGAAACCTATCAGGTCGATAATGATTGCTATCGGAAGGCAGATGTTGCATGTGAGGAGCATGTCTGCAATCCACCTTTGTTGTCTTGTGGGGACGGTCAGTGTGTGGACAGGTTCTATCAGGATAAATGTCACAATGGTCGTGATAAGCTGTACCGTCAACATCTCAGTTTGATTGATTCAAACTTAGATATGAATTTCAACTGCACGTTTCTAATGAGGTGCATGTCGTACAAAGTTAAAAATATTCGGTCTGGTGAATGTAAAAATATCTGTCAGCACAGTAGCTCTTTGAAATGCTTTTACTATTTCAAGCAAGTGTGTCCGCCGAGTTTCTTCTTTCAAACAGACAGGAATCATCTCTATCCGTTCGTGAAATTTCTCTACCACAATGTCACCGACAGGTCTGAGGAAAGATGGTACTTGCCCAATTATGTATGTTACAATCACAGTCTCTGTCCAGATATTCACAATTCCATCGACGATCTGCTTTTTCATAATATGACGTGTGTAAATATGGCGCAGCTGGGAGAGTGGGATGATTATGATTTCATGCACGAAGTAACACATATGTTTTCTGGCTGTTCAATTTCTGCTGCTATAAAATTGACCAACAGTAGTCTGTCAAATTTATTCTATTGTTCAGGAGCGAAGAAATTCATATCGAAATATCGTTTAGGTGATAATATACATGATTGTTTCCATAATGAAACAAGTCATAGTGAGGATGAAATGCTAGTCGATTTCTGCTCGTTTAATCTGACAAATCGTTTCAAATGTTTGAATTTGACAAGTCAATGCGTTCAACGAGCGATGATGATGGACAAACTGTACGGCTGTGAGGATAAATCAGACACTTTGCATTTTGGAAATTGCAAAACAGCATTGGACTTGAACTGTCAGTTTCTGCGAGGTGTCTATTCGCCGCCGGTCCACTATCTTTATCGGGAAAACTGCAATAACGTGTCCAAACTCCTCTTTGCTGTTGACGAAGAAACAGACGAAACGAGTTGTGATGAATGGCCCCAGTCATTGCATCAACGATATCAACGGTGTGACGGTGTGTGGGATTTCAACGATGGGAGAGATGAACTGAACTGCTCAAATTCTGCTGTTTCGTATATAACACACGACATATTTAAATGCAGTAAAAACGAGCATTACTGCATAAAACGAAATACAACGGGAAGCGGTTTGAGTTGTCTGCCAGTTGAACAAGCTGGCGATAATGTTACTGATTGCACCGGAGGTACGGACGAGCGCACAACAGTTTGCGCTTCTGCTTCAAATTATCAAAAGCGATTTTTTTGTCTTAGCCAAAACGGCTGTATCTCTGTGCTTCTTGTCTGCCGCCAGAACTCGATCTGTCCAACTGAGCGTGATGATATTTGCCCATGGTTTTCTATCAATGATTGCAAGCCCGAATTAGGTGAAGATTCAAACGTGTACTTTCAGTGCAAAAATGGAACTTGTATACCTGAAGGTGGTTGCAACGGAGTGATTGAATGTTATCCATACGGGGAAGATGAATGGCTCTGCGATATGGCCTACGAATTGAAGCCCGCTTATAGTCGAAAAACCCTCGAATTCTCACTGGATATCCTCGATGCATATCCTCCTTTGAGTGATCCGTCTCGTCGAATGCATCACGATATTAGAATGTTACATCCGCTGCCATTGAAAGCAACTGCAGCAACGACAAAACTATTAGGCTCCGCTCCAAGTACACCTGCCCGTGAAAAGCATTTATCGTGGTATTGCAACCGAGGTGTTCAGGTCATTAAAAGACACCCGGAGGGAACAAGGGAGTGTCTGTGTCCACCTAGTTACTACGGCAATCGATGTCAGTTCCAGTCTGAACGTGTGACGGTCGTTTTTCGAATGGACACACAGGCAATACTGGTTGGACGACAGCAGCAAGATGCGATTAAATTGCTGGCCATTCTTGTGAACGAAGATAACATAATCGTCTCTCAGGAAGAGATCATTCACACACGATCGGTGAAACATTTCTTCTATCTGAAGTATCCCCAGCTACCGCCGAAACGAGGAAATTGGTTTGTTCGTCTCAATGCATACTCTGTGACCACATCACAAGTTTACTTTTTGGCTTCATGGCTATTCGACGTACCATTTTCATTTCTCCCAGTGAATCGCCTCGCACTGGATTTTACACTCACCGAACAGGAAACATGTCAGACGCTTCACTGTGTTCATGGTAGCTGTCGGAAATATTTGAATTCTCGCCGGCAGAGAGATTACTGTCATTGTAGAAATGGCTGGTCGGGTCAACTGTGCAATATAAGCAACACTTGTTTGACATCTAAATGTGTTGACAGAGGCGGAGAGTGTGTTAGCAGATACCCATCAGATCCTTGGCCAATTTGTGTCTGTGCGCTTGGCCGACTTGGGATCGATTGTCACGCAAAATTTAATCCGTGTGGAGACGTCAAGTGTAGAAATGGTGGTACGTGTATCCCGTTAGATGAACGATCACTGAGATTTGTTTGTTCTTGTCGACAAGGTTACTATGGACTCCGATGTGAATCGATCAGTGCCAGAGTCACTGTCCGTTTTGCATCTGATCTAATTCAAACTAAAAAGGCTATACCGGTCGCAATCGTTCACTTTGCCGAACTGAAGGGTGAAACTCCGGGCGTATTGTTCGTTCAAAATCGTTTCATCTACAAAAAAGTTTCACTGAACAAACATGTCGCAATTTTCAATGACAATCACGAATATTTGCCAGATTTTGTTCTGGCTCAAATCTTTTTCCATCCAGGTCATGTTGATTATTATCTGGCGGCTATCATAAAACATCAAACAACTTTCAATTATTACACCAATCCGCCTGTGATCAGACATCGATTGACAAACATCACCACGAGTGTCATCCCGTCAAATCGATGTCCAGATGTTAACGAACTGCTCGATAATCAAACAATTCGAGAATTTCCATTGATGAAGAAGGTTAAATTCTATCAACATGCCTGTCGCCTTAGTCAAACAAAATGTTTCGTCGATGAGGTTCACTTGTGTTTTTGTGACAGAGATCGAGCGGCTGATTGTCTCGTGTTTCAACACGAGCCAACAACTTGTTTAATCGACTATTGTCAAAATAGCGGCAGGTGTGTGCAGACAAAGTACCATGGCGTCTGGGACTTCGGGTGTATCTGCTCGGGCTGTTCTTACGGATCGCTATGCCAACTGACAACTTCCCAGTACGCTATCTCATTGGACGCCATTTTGGGCGCCGACATTCTCGAAGATGTGCCGCTCACACAACAGCCGCTGCTGATCAAAGTAACTCTGACAATTATAGCTGTAATGGTCACTCTTGGATTTGTCTCGAATCTTTTGTCATTGATCACATTTTGGCAACCAAAACCGTGTGAGGTCGGCTGCGGTATCTATTTGTTTTATCTGTCAATTGTTGCTCAATTTGGTCTGTTGATGTTCGGCGGTCGATTTGTTTATCTTCTCATGACACAGTTGAATGCTGTTTCGGATTTAAAAGCCGCTTGGTGGAGTTGCATCTGTCTCGAATATTTTCTGAGCGTTTGTCTAGCTCTGTTTGACTGGCTAGCGGTGTGCGTGGCTGTCGAGCGCAGTATCAGCGTTATCACAGGGGTACTATTCAAAAAGGCAGAGAGTGTTCGGTGGGCCAGACGGATTGTTATCATTCTTGGTGTTGTTGTTTGTGCGAATTCATGGTACGAGCCGTTCATTCATGAACTAATAAATGATCCACGTCCTACAGGAAAGTACACCTGGTGCATCATCAAATTCGAGCGGCTATGGTTCGAATACTACCGGCTGATGGTTAACCTCATGAATCTGATCATTCCGTGTGGGATCAGTCTTGTTACCACGATATTCCTCATCCACAAATCGACGGTCAGGAAAAAAGTATTTGTGACGTTGTCGAAGCAGCAAGGTTACGTGAATACGCTAAGGAAACAAATTGTTATGTATGCGAGTCCCCTTTGTCTCGTCGTTCTCAGTCTAACGCGCCTGGTATTCTCATTCACTCTCGGTTGCATTAACCATCAGTGGCAGAAGTATTTGTATCTCACCGCCTACTTCATCTCATTTTTGCCACTTATGGGAACATTTCCGATCTTCGTCTGGGCATCCTCTAGCTATAGAAAAGAATTTCTTTTATTAGTCGAACGAGCACGACAAAGGATTAAACGCTCGGAAGTCTAATGTACTTTCCTGCCACTTTTCATGTTCATTGTATCTCTCGGGAACCTGAGCTCAAATCACTTAAATCCATTCAGTCTTGGTGTGATGCTTATTTTCAACTATAAAAAAAGAGTTTAGTGATGTGTTTAGATTATACATTTTTATTTGATGTTGTGATTCTTGTTTTTGTTGTATTAAACTGCAATGTTTGTGAGTCATGTTTATTTATACCTGTTTTTGTTTTCTAATTTAATGCTTTTAAATAATGTTAATGTCATAAGGGTTTCCGCTAGAATTACAATTATGCTTCTGGGAATTAAGCAGCATACGAAGAATTTATTAAGAATTTCTATGTGCATTTTGGCATGATCATCAAAAGCACTAGATACAGATCAAAAGCGACAATTTGACGCCTAACAACTGCTCAATAACATGCCAGATTTCTTGCTGAAAATCATCTTTTACAGAGCTTTTATCGAAAAGTATACACAAACATTTTTCAATGAATAGTCCTGATAAGCAATAGGAGACACTCTACAATTATTCACGTGTAGCTTAAGCCACATTTCTTCTCGTTTAGTGGCATCAAAACGCAATGGATCTGCGTAATCGAAGCCACTTGATTAATTCGATTTTTGCCAAGAGTGGAAATTTTGAATTTCGGATATTCGTGCGATATCCGAAGGTGTCCTCTTTCGATTGGACTAATTCTTATAACGACAAACCGGTGATCGATAGTTTTAGAGAAAATTTCTTGAAAACCCTACGTAACTGTTTTTTCCAAACTGTTGCATATCTTATTCGTTGGTGTGGATTACACTAAGCATTTTGAAATGACAGATTTGTAGCGCAGCATAT